AAAAAAAATGAATGTACAATGTGTTCATCATTGAGGCAAAGCAAAAAGGAGCCTTGGGAGACAGCAAGGAAAAAATTCTCCTTGTAAACAAAGCAATTTCTTTTCAAGGAAATGGTAGAAATCAAAAAAGGAAACCAAACACTAGGCCATTCTTCTTAAGAACTGTAGACTTAATAAAACTATAAGCAAAACTTGTGATGTGAGATTTAAGCCAGATGGCAACCAATAGAAAGTCTTTCAAAGACAAAGAATACATCATGAAAAATGAACTAAGCCACCTCCATCAAAAAACCTGAAGGTGAGATTTAAAAAATATATTTTGAAAATACAATTTTATGTTTTACCTGATACTGTGGCTTCTTAGAAAGAAAACAGTCTGCCTCTATCTCTAGCATGTTTCTGCTCTGGTGTTCAAAAACCTGTGTCAGATTAAGAGCTAAGGAGAGTTAATTATAGAAACAAGAACATCTAAAGCAAATATTCCATACTTTTAGCTATCTCAAGTTTTTCTTGTATTTCTTTCTTCAACAATCTGTGGTGCTAGACAGGCTGGGTCCATGTCATGGCTTTGTCAGCTTACTAGCTGAATGACCTGGTCAAGTCATTCATTCATCCCTGTGGTCCCTCTGTAAAATGTAGATAATAATCTACCTTACCTTATTGATTTAAGTTTTAATGGTTTAACATGTGCTATAGTAACTTGTCATAGTACATACAAAGTATATGCCATATAAATATTTGTTAAATAAAAATAAATAAAAAAGGAAATATTTATTAAGCCAAGCCCTATATTAGGCTCTGAGTGTATAAACACCGATGCAACAGAATGCCTGTTTACGAAAAAGCTTGGTGAGGGAAATTACAAAATAACAAGAAATGTGCTATTCCAGACATGGACACAGTCTACTTGTGAGTACATAAAGAGGACATTTAACTTGGCCACAAGCTACATGGGAGGAGGAAATAGAATCAGATCAGCGTCCTCATTCATGTTCAAAGTCTTCACAAGAAGGCCCTTCCTACAAGAAATAGACTTGTTGGCCAAATATACCCAAGTCCTTGAGGAGTGAAAAGAAAGTGCTTACCCCTGCTCAACTGAGAGAAGCCTATCATAAAGAACAAATCAGACAACATAGAAAATAAAGACTACCTCTACTTGCTATTCAAAAAGAAAGTTATTTTCTTCCTCCAGGCCCTGTCAAAGTCTACAAATGTCCCTCAACTTTGTTTCATTTTTACTGTTTGTATGGTATAATCTAAAACTTGACCACTAGGTACTTCCGGAAAACATGTTTTAAATTTTTCTCATCATTAAGTCAAAGTGAAGATCGAAGTGTTTCTTTTTGAGGGATATTCCCTCCATGTGCTTGGCCAACATTCTCATTCTAATACTTGGGATTGTTTTAGCTTTTCCTTTCAAGGTTAAGAAAGGCAGTGTTAACTATGGTTCTTCTCTAGTGAAAACTCCAAGAATCACAACCTAAAAATAAACCACTAACACCTGGAAAAGTTTTATTTTCCCTCCATTTCAGAAGTAGATAGAAAAGGGTTGGCTTTCTTATCTACGATGTCTTTAGGGACCCCCAGTGACTGCTTCTCCCTGTCAGTCTATCCCCTTAAGGTTTTCAACCCCAGTGAATGAAAAGTTGCTCTGCCCTCACTCCCATACCCCTGGCAATGGGTTGTCCTTCAGCTTTGTGCCCTTTTCACATACCTATGTCATGTGGAGGGAGGAAGCAGAAATGCACAATCTGAGGACAGAAATTTGATCTTCATGCTATCATTTTCTCTAGCCTGCCCCAAAGCAATAGGCAAAGGTCATCTTAAAACTGCTTAGCTAGGCATTATGGCTGGTACCTGTAGTCCCAGCTATTCAGGAGGCTGAGGCAAGAGGATTGCTTGTGCCCAAGAGTTTTAAAGTTGCAGTGAGCTATGATGCCATGGCACTCTACCCAGGGTGACAGAGTGAGACTCTGTCTCAAAAATAAAACAAAACAAACCCTGCTAGGCGGTACCTGTGGCTCAAAGAGTAGGGCACTGGCCCCATATGCTGGAGGTAGTAGGTTCAAACCCAGCCCTGGCCAAAAAAAAAAACCCTGCTAGATTTGTTTTCAATGTGTCAAAGTCATATAAAACAATCAAGAATAGATACTACCTTTCTCTGCTCCCTTTTTATAAGCTACATTTTCAGAAAACAGAACAAAAGAAACTATTTCAAATTAGAATGCAAGCAAACCATTTATACTTTGGCTAATCCTGAAAAATTTTGTGATTTCAAAAAAAAAATATGTTTAGTCTCAGCTATATGACATTCCAACAAAATATTCATTTCATTCTTCCATATGTGTTAAACTTTATGTCCAAAACTGTAGTTCCCTTAGCCAAACTCTAATCCATCAGGAGCAGTTGTTCCTAGGTTGAATAGCAATGGTGTTGTATAAAAGGTTTGCAAAAAACCTGATCTTTGGAAACTGACACTATTCAAAGGGGAGGATAACACTGTAGTATATTACCATATTTTGATACTTAGTATGAATGACTCTGAAAGAATATGGTTCTTTCAACTATGTTTTAATATATAAAGCTTATCTTCATCCATTTGAAGATTAACTCATAGGTATGAAAAGCCACATGTATCGTGGCTAGAGGGCAAGAAGTATGTCTTTAGAGCCTGTTTCACGTCATAACTGGCAGGGTTCTGAACCTTTATTTATTATATAATATATATCACCTGGTATACATATGCACACGTATGTAAGTATTTACATATAAATATTCATAAATGTGTGATTAGTATGTGAATATAAACATACTCAAATATTTTAATTTTGTCCAAGTAAAGTTTGTACATGTCACCAAGTCACTTCTATTATTCTAAAAAATTATCAACACGAGTTAGGAAACATTTATTAGTGTTTTCCAGAAAGACAATGAGTAACAAACAGCCCATCTGATCTTCTTCCTTAAGTAACAGAGCAGCGAATTTTCTTTACTATTCCTGCTGTGCTTTTCTATCATACAACCCAGAGCTTCCCCACTGACTGACCCACAGACGCTTCAGGTTAATCATTCCTGACCTCTGGGCCCCAGGATAGGAGAGGAAGGGAAAGAGGAAGGTAAACAACAACAATTCAATCACATTCTGTATCCGCATGTTGTAAAACAGTATTATATACTGTGAGACAATTAATATAAAAGACAAATGACTCTTCTGATACCGTGCTGATCCACTAAAGGCAAGAACAAAGATGCTTACCTGCTGTTCCCGCATTCTAGCAGCACCAAGTTCTGAGAGAGAGCTGGTGAGCTTCTCCTGCTGTTCTGATAGATATTTCTGATAGAGGCTTAGAAGTTCTTGGCATTCTCTGTACTGTAGCTGAAGAGGTGAGATTGCAAATTAAGGGAAAAAAACCTAAAAACCTGATTCAATCTGCATCCACCAGTGTTGCTTTCGGAATTCCAATAAACAAAACCAAGACAGGAAGGCAGTGATATTTAGTGAGAGAGTAGGTAAAAATAAAATCTTCAGACGAAAACAGTACATGCATCCCCCCTCCTCAAATCATAAAACAATAATTCACAGAGTAGCTATAGTCATTCCATTTGAAAACAAATTTATCTCTCAATTCATTAAATTTGAAAACAAAAAACAAACACAGAACCATGCAAAGGAACTCCTGCCTCACACTATACAAAAAACTAAATGAAAACAGATTGTCTGTATGTAAAAATTAAAACTATAAAACATGAAAACACATAAAATTACATTTTTGTGACCTTGGATTAGGCAACGATCACTTAAAAGTACAAGCAACCAAAGAAAAACTAGGTAATTTGGACTTCTTCAAAATTTAAAACTTGGGTGGGTGCAGTGGCTCACACCTATAACCCTAGCACTCTGGGAGGCTGAGGCAGGAGGATCACTTGAGCACAGGAGTTTAAGATTGGCCTGAGCAAGAGGGAGACTCTGTCTGTATAAAAAATAGAAAACTTAGCTAGGCATAGTGGTATGTGCCTGTAATCCAAGCTACTTATGAGACTGAGGCAGGAGAATCTGAGTTTGCAAGTAGCTATAATGACGCCACTGCACTCTACCCCAGAGACTCTTGTCTCCAAGGAAAAAATTTAGAACTGTATGCTTTAAAGAATACGACGAAGAAATTTAAAAAGACAACCCCAGAACGAGAGAAAATATTTGGAAATCATATGATAAAGGACCAGTGTCCAGTTATATAAAGACAACATACAACTCAACAATTAAAAAGATGGTTGACCCAATTTAAAAAAGGGCAAAGACTTTGAAGTGACATTTCCCAAAACAAACGACCAAGAAGCACAAGCCACTCAACATAATTAGCCATTAGGGGAATGCAGATCAAAAACACAGTAAGATACTACTTTACATCCACTAGGATGGCCAGAGTCAAAAAGACTTACAATAACAAGTGTTTATGAAGACATGAAGAAAATGGAATCCTCCTATATAGCTAATAGGAATGTGAAATTGTGCTGCCACTTTGGAAAATAACTTGGTAGTGTTTTAAAAAATTAGACATAGATATACCGTATGACCCAGCAATTCCACTTCCACGTATATAACTATGACAACCAAAAACATATGTCCATGCAACAACTTATACGTGCATTTTCAGAACAGTATTACGCATAGTAGTAGAAAAGTGAAAACAGCCTACATGTCCACCAACTGATAAATGAATAAACAAAATGTGGAATAGCTTGTAATTAAATATTATTCAACCACGTTGTACTACTGCTACCTAGTACAACATGGATGAACCTTGAAAACATTATGCTGAATAAAAGCCAGACACAAAAGGATTTATATTACATGATTTCATTTATATAAAATGTTCAGAATAGACAAATCCATACGGACAGAAAGTGGGTGCTAGGGGTTGTGGGAAAGGACATTGGGCGTAACTGTTAATAGGTATGTAATGAACATGTTCTGTATTGTCTGCAACACCTTTGGGAATATACTCAAAACCATACAATGGTGCACTGGAAAGGGAGAACTGTATTGTATGTGAATTGTATCTCAGTAAAGCTGTTATTAAAAAATCTAAATCCTGAGTAGAAGTGATAACTTCTGGTAAAAATAATTACTGCCAATTTACACAGAAAGTTCATAACTATATTAAACATAAAGGGATTATAATTTGGTATTTGCTTTGTTTTGCATAACATCGGTGAAGTCAATATTTCATTAATAAAACCATCATCAGAAAATTTTCTGCTCATAGACCTCCATATATTTTTTATAGTTTTATATAAAGAACAGGACCTAACCTGGGGTACCCTCGCTCATAACTCCTAAAACTTGCAGGTCCTCAAGATGAAAATACTAAATAGGAAAGGCCATCTAACTTCATAGATTAGATAGATGCCTGGGAGATAGTTCTCTCCAACAGAGAGTTCTGCTCCTTATTTCTTATTGTGGTAATTTCCTCCCCTGACTCTTTAGTCCTTCAGATCATTTCTGAATCTCTCCCTTAACACTTACTTATGTATGCTCTTGGTGTAAGAATTCCTGTCCAATGGGATTATTCTGTATAAATGCCCTTGCAACAGGTCATCATGATTATGGGTGGGAATAGCATTTCTTAAATGTCAAAATGGTGACTGATTTCAGTATTCCTTAACATTTTATAACCTAATCATTGCTTCTGGGCAGATTCTTGTTCTAATAACTTTTGCCAATCATGACTGCATAAATAACCAATTACTTCATTATTCTCATTATTAACCTTTAACCAAAAAAAAAAAAAGAGCCAGAGATGGGCCAAAGAAGGTGGTTCCCCAGAAAAGGGCAGGTTACTAAGCTTAGAGAATACATTAATTAGAAGAGCCCGTTGAATGTTAGGCATCTTTAAAAAAATAACAACAACAACACTATGAACAGTGGTCTAAATAAGCTAATAGGTTTTCAAAGTTCAATCTGTGTCAGCCCAGGATGGTTTTATACTTCCACACATTTTGCCAGCAAACTGCAAGAGACAGAAATGATTTGTGGTGGTCCCAGGAGTCTCTGCCAGCTATTACGTATATAAAAAGAATTTTTTATTCTAGCTGTTACCATAGGCAGTAATTTTTATAGTATGTGAACATATTAGCCTGGTCACAGAATATGAATTTTACTCTGGAAAAATCAAGCACAATTATACAGCCTAGGAGTTAAATGTCAGCATTTGAGACAAATTATAGGCAAATTCATTTAAACACATGCTATGTGGTGGAATATAAAAACAGGTAGTCCTACGTTCATCAATTTTTTATGTCTTTCTTGATACAACAGATTTTAAAATGCTCCCCTTTTTCTTCCTCCCTAGCACAATAAGATTTCAACCCTCCATCAGGAGAGAGGGATTTAATGTGGGTAAAGTGTTCTCTTCATTGATTTGATTTGGGGGGTACAACGAAAGAGAAGATGTATTTAACTCAACCATGGCCAACTAACAGAAAAGAGCAAAATAGATGTAGAAAACCAAACCACCACATGAACACAACGCACTGGGGTCTGCCCAACCCCCATTTACACACGGAGAGAGATAGCAGTTATCATAACCTCTTTAAACCAAGAAGTCTTCAGAGGATAATATAAATATCAATTAGTAGTAAACAAAATCACATCAAAACCTAAACACTGAATTAATTAATTAGATGAAATGGCTACAGGAAATGGTAATCTGCAATGCTCAAAGTCTTCACCCTAAAATTCATTATATACCAGAATGAAATTAAAGATCAAACATCAAATGAATAAGGAAATGAATGAAAGAATAAAAACTCTGTGTGAGATAAAAGTCAGAAGTGAAAGGAGGAAGGACTAGAAGGCAGCCAAAGTAGAAAGAGATTAATCTTAAGCCGGAAGAATTCCTCTGGCCTGGAGGAGTCCACCCTCACCATCCCTCCTCACCCTTGTCTCAGATAGTAGGGATGCTTCTATCTGGCACTTTGTAATCCTAATCTAATACAGAAGCAAATGAAGGGAGGCCTCTGTGAGAAAAGTAAAGGTGAATCATTTAATTAAAAAAAATCCACCTTTCTTAGAATCAAATCTCATTGGAAAAATGGCCGAATACCATTCTGGGGTAGGGAAAGTACAAAGTGAACTTGAAACACCCTGTTGTGCTATAATGCAAAAAGTGTTCAAAGGCAGATGGGGGTTATCACAGGAATAGGAGCTAGGCTGAAGGGGGAATCTCATTAGCCAAATATAGGGCAATTTCAGCACTAAAGTAAATAATCACTCTAATTTATAGAAAAATAATTTTCCAAAAAGAAAACTGAATAAATAAAAATCTACTATTTCATAGTGATACTTCAAAGGGGAAAAAAGAATGTAAGGGAGAAAAAGTGAAGTACTTCTTCAAAAAGAAAAAGCCTGGGGAGAGTGCAACTTTAGATAGAGATGCTTTGGGAGCATCTAGTGAACATGGCCAACAGGGGACACTTAGATCCTTGGGCGTGGAATACAAAGAAGAACACTGAGTAGAAATAAGAGATTTGGGGCTTAATCATTTTATACATGGTGGCTAAAGGCATGAGAGAGACTGTCCAGGGAGTACATAACTTGCTTTGTTCATTCACTGATTTGTTCATTAATTCATTCAACAAATAAGCTGTGTGGGAGGTGGAGCAAGATGGCTGACCAGAAGAATTGTTCAGCTGAGCTCTCCTAGAATGACTGGGACAAAAGAAAGAACCCAGTCATACCCGATGAGGGTACCTTGCCTGGAGTTGTAGCTCAGGGAGCACAGCAAAGAGGTGGTGAGCCGGAAACAGTATGTGATCTGGACCAGTGGAAATCTGATGCTTTAGGCAAGTGATTGAGACCCACTGGTATCAGTCGCCCCCTCCCCACCAAGATCCAGGATGGGAGGAAGCCTTTCTGGAGTTTTTGCTTTTAGGGGGAAGCAGTGCATTGAGTAGAAAACTTGGAAGAGGGGGTGGACTTGAAGAGTATACAGCAACCAGATTTGAATACAGGTTGGAGTGGATTTGCCATCAGTTTGGTGGATGGCAAGTCAGCCATACTACGAAGGTCTGGGTAGCCTGGGGGTTGCCACTGTGGGAACATCATGAGAAGGTCTTAGCAGGAGGCTAAAGCATGGCCATCTTAATTTCACCTGCCAGGATCAGAACTCTACTCTTGAGATAGGCTGAGGGACTCCTGTACCCCATGGAAACTGTTGTCAGGGGACACTGTGAGACCTGCCCCTGAAGGATTCTGGAGAGCTTTAAGATCCCAACTCTGTGGGGTCTGAATGTTGAGGAAACAATCAGGTGATCATTGAAGGCACCTAAGTTAGGAATAAGGACCACAGAGATTGCTGGCTCTGTTCTTCATCTCTTAAAAAAAA